AATTCTTGACAGTGGCAGTGTTTTTTCCATATCCAAAGTCAGAGTTTCAATATGATCATAAGTCTTAGCCAAAGTTATATCTTGTTTTTTCATTGCACGTGCATCTTCAGCTTCTTTATGGTGCTGCTCTCTTTTCTTCTCTAAATTCAATTTGGTTTCTTGTTGGGGGGAGGCTAATTAAATTTCATGTCTTGATGTTGGCAAAGTAGCTTAGCGCCCATTCATACATTTACTTTTACTAAGGAAGTCCTACCTATTAAACCTAGTGATTGTACACTCTTTATCGACAATTAATTATCTTTTTGCATTTGGTGCAGTTTTTTCATATTGCAAAAAGTCCCATTTTTAATTATTTGAAGTTATATTTATGTTATAAGTTGAGCAATATTTACCAATTTTTTTTATTTATAAGCTACGTGGTGCAAATTAAATAATTATGTGTAATTATGTGCTATTTAAAATACATCTGTCAGTATTTTTTATTTTATATATACCCCAAATTCGTAGGCTGGGGTATGATGGGTGCATTTGACACTTAACAATTTTGGTTTACTATTTGTGCTTATCATTGCATTTCATGCATTTAATGATGGTGCAATTATCGTATTCAAGCAAGATGTAATGTTTATATACTGCAAAAAGTACCCACTTCTAATTATTTGAAATAATGTAGACGTTATCAGGTAAGCGATCTTTAACTATTTTTTTATTTCTAAACTACATGGGTGCAGTTTAAATAATAAATCTTTTTGAAATGTGCTATTTGAAATACTTCTGCCAGTATTTTTTTATATATACTCCAAATTCATAGTCTGGTGTAGGGGGGGGGGGGGGGGGGTTTCTAAGTCAGTGTATTAATTAATCTGCGCCATGCTTGCTACATATCATAGATATAGTATACATTAAATTGGCGATAGAGTGATTAGGGTGAGACCAAAAACGAAATGTAAGGGTGTGAGTGAAATGTGCATGCGTGCGAAACGAATAGTGCTGCGCCATGCATCAACTTCAATTATCGACGCAGAGCGCTGTGTCCGTGTCATTAAATGAATATTTTTATGTTTGAAGGAATAAAAATAAAACTACAAACAAAATCTTTGTGATTTTTTTTTTACCCACCAAAAATAATTTCTTGTAAAAATATCGTAAGCTCTCCTTAGAGGTATTTCGCAATTTTGCTTCACACTTCAATCTAATAATCAAATAAGTTTCGATTATTAATTTCACATTGTTTATATTGTTTATAGTTTGAAGTTGCTGGCGAATCATGCAGATGTATGTCAATTATGTAAAAAAAATATTGCATTTATGCCTGAATACTCAAACGCTGCTTAATTTTAAGACATCGTTAAGTCTTGTGCTGTCTCTATCACTAAGTCAAAGTGACTGTGACACCACGCAATTTAGCGACGTCTTAAAATTGAGTAGCGTTTGAGTATGTGACCATTAGAGTGCTAAATATTTTAATTGTACTTACGTGTGAAATGTATAATTTTGTGGATTTTCTTTTCTCGATGCACTTCATTCAGGTACTGCACGCGTCACCATATTTAATCATACATTTTAAACACTTATTAATACTTCAAAATCAAAGATATCGCGAAAATAAGCGGGATTTGTTTCGTCAACGATTGACGTCAGCCCGATATAGGCCTATAGCGTGTACGTGTATGGTCTAGCCATTCTATTTCTTTGGATTTTTTCCTGCGTCGTGGAGGCAGTTTACAAAAATAAATTGCACGAAGACAAACATCCAGACCCGGAACAATTATTTGTAGGCCATACAAATACTTGTACCGTGCGGGATTCGAACCCGCGGCCCCCAGCGCAACAACTCATTGCTAAGCCACTGCGCCACGGAGCCGTCAAATTAGTGAAAGTAGAGCGTAAATAACTGTCAGTCGCACTCTAATTGTTGCAAGCTGACGGATCGCTGCTTAAGTGATATATGCGAAAATATGCCATTTTGTGCAATGTTGGAAAGTTTTGAATGGAGGTGTTTCGTACCAAAGCCACGTGTAATTTTTTCCTGTTTTCTATAGAAATTTGACTAAACATGGGCAAAATGTCAAATTGCCTTCATCACAAGTAATTTTCAACCTTATTTCCTTAAACTAAGTTTCATCTGTAAATACATTTTGAATAAAAATAGCACCGATAGTGTTGTGACTACGCCGATATTAAAGATTTCGATAAAATTTTATCACAGTCCTGTTCATTCATTACCATATTAATGAAAATTTGCAAATATTTGATGTCTATGGAAATATACGAAATTATAGGGTGACCTATGAATAAACATTTGTAAGGGTTGCTAAGCCAGAGAAGTAAGTAAGAAGTTTAGTAGTACTCATGACTTTTGGAAAGAAGTTGAAATAAAAGTGATCTTAATATCATGATCTACATTAGTATCCGAATTTAATATCGTCTAAAATTTAATATTAAAGTGTGAAAACGATAATTTTTAACAAATATGTGTTATTTCAAACACTAAAACAATTACAAAATTATTGTTTTTTATAATTTTCCTTGTTTCCATTTCATAAATCATAATTTAGCTAGCTGTCAATAAAATTCCATTCAAGACAATAAATTATATGCCGACTATATGAATTACGGAGATATACGTAGTACATCACGGCAATTTCCAATAAATTTTGCTATTGTACTCATTTTATCTTTTTTTTTAATTCAGTTTCTTCAGTCATTTAATTCATATGTATGATAATAATGATATAATGAATATCGATATAAGCCAGATCACATTTAGGGAGAGTAACTACCTCACTAATATCATACAGGTAGCAGTACAGGTTAGGTAGGGCAATGTCAACGTTATATCTATTAGCATTGTGTCTATTATAGTTGTTTTGTCATGCGTACTGCAAAGGAGATTAATAATATTAAAACAATTAAAATCTTGTACTGTACTTACGTCCGCAGTACACTTGAATATGCTTCGCAGATTTGGAACCCGATGTATCATACATACATTTCACAGATTGAAAATATCCAACGTAAATTTACGAGTATACGATATCTTTGCTATCGTGAAACTACCGATCAGAAGACTACTTATCCTTATGCAAACACCATCATCTGCTACCTCTGATAAAGTATTTTTATTGAAAATCTGTTCTGGCAATGTTGACTGTTCTGATTTGCTATCACAAATATCACTGAGAACGCCTACAGTGAACCTTAGAACGAATGCATTACTCTACTTACCAGCTTCATCAACTAATTATGGAAGAAATACTTTCATGTATCGGTCTATTAATAATTTTAATAATTTATGTAAAAGGCATTATTTTGATTTTTTTAATATTAGCTATATATCGGCAAGACGGGCATTAAGTCGAGAGTCTTTTATGTCATAATTTAATTTATTTTAAGAAAAATTATATTGTGCGTTTTGCCCTGCCTTTTCTTTTCTTTTGTGGCTATTATTGTTTGTTTCACTTATTAAATTTATGCATGTTGTACAATTAAATTAGACTCCATTTTTGTCGCTCATATTTGTACTATGTCCTTTAAACAACGAAATAGATATGTTAGTATATTTCTATTAGTGAGGACCTGTTATTGGCACTTTGGAAATTTAACATGTTATTTACTTCAGATTTGTAAGCTGTTGGTTTTCCATAACATAAAAATAAATTAATTAATTAAAATAGTGTGAATATATTATTGCGACATCTAGCTTTAAGAAGCTAAATTTGCTCATTAATTCTAGAAACTATTCTAAGGATTTATGGTTCATACTAAAGTGAATGTTGAATAACATAATGCCTTACTCTTTGTTTTCAATAGCCAATCACGCGAAAATTATTGAAATGGTACACAATTGTCGGTACACATTTCTTTCTTGTGTATGTGTGAGTTTGGCGACAATGGTTCCGCTGCAAATGATGCGTTTTGCTACTTTCTCTTGTTTTTTATATTCCGTGGTTTATATTCTATAACTTTATGGTATATACTAAATCTATGTTACATATATATTTATCTATGGTCGAGTTTTTGGCGGGAACTTGACCGGCGGAGGCTTGCTGCTCCTGTATTATTGTTTAAATAATGGTTTGAAGTGGACTTTAATATGTAAAAGTGGTGTGATGTTGTGTATTAAGTGTCTGCGCATGTGAACTATTAGTGGAAACTGTGAAACAAATGCTCTGATGGTAATGTGATTCTCAAAATAAGGTGTCTGTCTGCTTAGGCGCCTTGAGATACCATCGCCAATCGTCAGCTGTCTGCCGACTCAAGTTGCCGTCAAAATCTCCCAAGGGCTGCACAATGTGACACATCAACATATTGTGAAGCAGTATACTATGAAGGATAATTATTATAATATATTGTAACTTCAGGCTCAGAAGGGCTAGATCCCAGAGCCGTGGAGCCAGTTATCAAGAAGAAGTATCTATGGTCTGAGCGTCTTTCCGTTTCTGTTGGAGTTTTGGCGGGAACTTGAACGGCGGCGGCTTGTGGCTCCTGTATTATTGTTTGTGTGGATACGGTTTGAAGTGAATTTTGATATGTAAAAGTGGTGCGATGTTGTGTATTAAGTGTCTGCGCATGTGAAATATTAATGGAAACGTGAAACATTTGCTCTCATGGTGATGTGATTCTCAAGATAAGGTATCTGTCTGCTTAGGTGCCTTGAGATACCATCGCCAACTGTCAGCTGTCTGCTGGCTCGCTGGCTCAAGTTGCCGTCAAAACCTCCCAAGGCCTGCACAATGTGACGCATCAACATATTCTGAAGCAATGTACTATGAAGTAATTACACATTGTAACGTCACGCTCAGAAGGGCTATAACCCAGAGCCGTAAAGCTAGTTTTAAAAAAACCGTTTCTGTTAGAGAGAGAGGAGAAACGTCTTTCAGTTTCAGTTGGTTTCAGTTCAGATAAAAGTTAGCTTGCTAAATGTTTATTTATCTATGAAAGTTACAAACTTAGAAATAGTTTGCGAAACTTTATGCGATAATTTTTTTTTTAATAAAATGGCATCTAGTGAATTTGAAAAAGATGAGGAAGTAAGAGAGCTTCTGGAAAATTATAAATTTAAAAAAGCTACAATTTATGAACCTTGTACTCTAAAGAACTTTAAAGAGTGTTTAATCGGATTACATGAGGTTGGTTGTTATTTTTTTCAGGTTCAACTGTACAAAACCTACAATCGATTTGAAGGGTGCAAACTTTTATAAGGAAAGATCTTGTTTATTCCATGTCATGAATAATTCTTAAATAATCTACGAAAATGCGTAGTTTTCGGGATATTATTTTTTGCGTACATAAATATGATTTTGTAGATTTTGTTGATGTAGGTAGATATTAAAAAAGGAGCAGACTTTGTCTAAGACAAGTTTAGCTTAATATGTTCTAAATGGTTTAAGGTATCATCCCCTTCAGGTTTTTCACCCATCTTCCAGACAGCCTGTATAGTCGAATTTAGATTTTGTACATTCTTTTCTTTTGACATTTTTATCCTTTTATATCCTCAGCAATGTGGTAACTATTCTAATTCATATTATTCTGTTTGTCTTAAGGAACTTGGTCTTTTAAATATAAACTACATATTTAATCCGTATTTAGATGTTGAAAATAATACCTTGACAACAGAAGCATTAGTTAAACTTATTAACTCTATCTGGATTTTGTTACAAAATTTTAAATGCACATCAGAAAAGGCAGAGAGGTTGGTGGAGCGAAACCACATTCTTGAATGTAATAACAGTCACCTAAATGTAAGTATGGTTTTTTATTTCCTATTTTATAGTGTTTAGACTTCATTATCAGCCTTTAATCAATCCATTGCTGGATATAAGTGGTGCTTTTCTTAATGTGCAGAATGACAGCAAAGCTTGACCTATACCTACCATACAGGGCACATAGATTCTGAGGACAGGACCAGTAGGTACACTTGCACTGGTAATGCTGCTCACACTATCAACTTGTAATAAAATTAAATATGCAGCATGATTAAAATATGTGTACAAGTGATAGATTTAGGGATTGAAATGATGACATTGGTTCTTCCGCAGATTTGAAATCTTATTCACCATGGAAACTCCAAGCATGTCTCTTTGAATAATTTTTGGTCAAATTTGAGCTTGTGAAATAGTCGAAACTTTAGTGTCTACATAGCGATGCCATATGTGAGTACATATAGGCAGGACACATTGTTGAAGACATACACCTTCAGGCTTTGCGGTATGGACGACGAGAAAACTTGACAGTGTTTCCTAAATTCTGCCCTGAAATTGATTCTAACTAGTTGTTTAATCTGCTAGAAGAAGATATCATCATCATCATTGTCAACCTAATTGACTGCATAACTAAAGTCAATTTAAAAAAACTTCCATATTACAAGTATTTGCCAAAGTTGTCACACTTGGCAAGAGGGTTGTTTACCGCAGTATTTTATTGTTTTGAGTTGTTCTCAGGAAGATGCTGCTGCCCATCACCTGTTTCAGTTTCCCTCTCTCGCCTCTTACGACACCCACGGGATGATATTATTGAATTCTCTTACGCCTCCACAAAGACTTACTTACTTATCTTCACGCACAATCCCTGACGGGGTAGCCAGAGAGAACAGATCGCCAAGTGTCACGATCCTTACAAACCTCTTTCGCTTCTTTCAGATTCATTATCTTCTTCATGCATGCACGTCTAGGTATCCGAGTACTCTTGACCCTACCCTCTTCGAGCAATTTGCTCACATGGTCTTCGAAAGTTAGTCTCGGTCTACCTCGACACCTTTTAATATTAACTTTCGCGCTATATATTTTCTTCACCATTCGGTCTTCACTCATTCGCTCAACGTGCCCAAACCACCGAAGCACGCCCTTATCAATTTTTGTGATAAGGTCATCTTTCAAACCTGCCATATTGCGAATCTCTTCGTTTCGCTTTCGGTCGGCCATGGTAACGCCGCACATTTTACGAAGAGATCGCATCTCCACTGCATTCAACTTACTTTTATGCTTCTTCTGGCATACCCAGGTTTCGCTGCCATATAACAAAGTCGGTACCAACACTGCGTTATGTATTGCAAGGCGTGCACTCTTCGCTACGCCTTGCCTTTTGACTAACGCAGTCAGGGCACCATTGACTTTGTTCCCGGCAGCGACACGCCTGTCCACATCTATATCACATCTTCCATCCCGGCTAAAAGCACTCCCCAAGTATACAATTTCATTTACCTGTTCTAGATATTCCTGATTTACCCATATTTCACACTTCGTTCTCTCTTCGTCCCTTTCAAATACCAGAACCTTAGTTTTATTAGCATTCAAACGGAGTCCTTTAATTTCACATTCCTCTTTCATACACGTGACTAATGCCTGCAGTTCTGCCTCTGATGGTGCAATAAGCACTGCATCATCAGCATACAGCAGACAATTTACTTTTATGTCACCCAATTTCACACCCAAACAGCTATCTTTCAGCTTCTGTAAACAGCTGTCGAGATACAGTATGAACAGCCAGGAAGACATGACACAACCCTGCTTTACGCCCGTTTGGACGTTAAACATGGGTGACAGGTCATGCCCTACCCGCACACAGGCTTTACAGTCACAGTAAAGAGACTGCACAGCCCTTAGCAATCGACCATCCACACCATACCCCGGCAACAGTTCCCACATTTTCTTCCTTACAACCTTATCAAATGCTTTCTCAAGATCCACAAAAGCACAGAAAATCTTCTGGTTAGCAGCCAGAAGCTTTTCCGTGATCATGCGGAGAGAAAACATTTGATCCGTGCATCCTCTTCCAGGTCTAAATCCGCATTGTGCCTCCCATAGAAATCTTTCCGATTTCTCTTGCATCCTACGTGTCAAAACCTTCGAGTAAACTTTACTTGCTAAACTGGTCAAGCTGATCGCCCGATAGCACCCGCAGTCAAAATGTGAACCTTTACCTTTATATAAAGGCACAATGACTGCGGATCGCCAATCATCCGGGACATCCCCCGTCCGCCAGCACAAATTGCACAGCAGATGAAAGCTGTCCCAGACGCGAGGCCCACCATACTTGAACATTTCAGCAGTAACTCTGTCTAGTCCCGCAGCTTTACCACATTTCAAACTTCGAATCGCACGTTCAATCTCTTTCATACTGATGACCTCAGTGTCATCGAGGTCCGGGTCTGGCGTACCAGTCACGGAGTCATCCCCGGATCCCTCACTAAGATCATCACACGCATACATTTCTCTATAAAATTCGCTCCATCGCTGCATGACGTCCGATTTTTCTGAGAGGACGTCATTAGTTCTCGAAAGCACTTTGTTCATTCTTAAGGCCGTCGCACCACTTCGGGTCCTTCCAACCTCTTTCCAGAAGAGTTTGGAGTTCTCCTTAAAGTTGTGCGACAACCTTTCGTCTGCTTCCATTCTACACCTTTCACGCACTTCCTCAATCAGTGCTTTCGTGTGAACTTTCTGCAGCCTATATCTTTCTTTCATCTTCTCTCTCATATCCTTATCATTACTAGAGGCCAAGTAGTCTAACCATGCTTTCTTCTTCTTCTTTACAGCTTCTTTCACTTCATCATTCCACCATGCATCTCTTCTTTTACTACTGCCTCTTTTTATTGTTCCACACACTTCTTCCGCTGCACTTACCATTCCATCCCTAAGGTTCTGCCATGTTCTTTCTACACATTCTTTTCTGCCATCGATGGTGTCAAGCTTTTCGGCTACCCTCGCATGATATTTGTCCCTAGTATCCGCTTCCTGAAGCTTCCAGCTTCGGATGCGACAGACCGACTGTGGTTCTGTTACTGCCGTCCGGTAGCGCCAACCCGCGAACAGACCCCTAAATCTAGTAATCACTAGATAGTGATCCGTTCCCAGGTCAGCACCCCTGAACACTCGCGTATCCATCACCTGTTTTCGCAGTCGGTCATCCACCAGGAACAAATCGATCATACTTCTCTCATTCTTTCGTTCTCTAGTATACATATGGATTTTCTTGTGATTAAACATAGTGTTTGTCACAAGAAGACCCTTTTCCTTGCACACCGCCAGTATAAGCTTGCCAGCATCATTAACCCTTTTATCGCCAAACTTTCCAAGTACCGACTCGTACCCTGGTCGAGCGGTACCAACCCATCCATTCAAATCACCACATACAACAATTATTTCGTTTCCCCTAGCCAAATCTAGAACTTCTCTTACATTCTCCCAAAACTCCTCCAGCTCAGCCCTGGACGACGAAGCTACCGGCGCATAAACAGCCAAAAGGAATAACTTCGTCAGTCCCAATTTAAAGCGAACCCAGAGAAGTCTTGAGTTCACAACCTTATATTCAGTCATAACATCGACCAACCGAGAAGACAGCAGCACCCCCACTTCCTGGCAGGCGTTCTCGCTCTCCGGGACTCCAGACCATAGAGCTAACGCCCCGCCAGGGAGCTCTTCAGTACCACTGCCCTTCCATTTGGTCTCCGACATACACACGACATCTAATTCTCTTTCTTTCATTATTTCGATCAACTCATTCGTCTTATCTCTCATGCCTCCTCTAACATTCCACGTGCCAACTCTGCACTCTGTCCTCCACCTTCCGCCGTGTCGGGCTGTGCGTGACGGGTGGCGGTCCCACTCCATCGCCGCTTTGCGCGCTGCATTCCACACCAACGGGGACGAGCTGGTGTGCGTCGCCTTGGGGGGACGCCCTAACCCTCGTTGGCATGGGTGCGCAGCTAAGTAGAATTGCAGCCCTGAAAAGGGCTGGCAGGGGTCGCGACGAGCACGCTTCTACAATGACCCCCTATACTCCACAAAGACAATTTCAAAAATCTCACTACCAACAATAATGGGATCTGGTGTTATACCACTGTTAAATACTCCTGACTTTCATCATGACCGTTTCATTGTTACGTGGTCGTTGTTGGAGGACTGATTTAGGCTGTTCGACATGCCTTGTAGCTAGAATTGTCAACCTTAGCATGGATTTGTGGAAAAATTGCAATTATAACACAGGATATATCTAAAAAAAAGCAGTACAAAGCTATAAAAGTATAGAATAGCGAAAACTTCTATCAGAAATAAGATTTCAATTTCATATTTCAAACAGTTTTTAACCTATTTCAAACAGAGACGGTCTTTATTCGACGCGTACATTATTAGCCAACTTTTAAAAAGGAGGCTTACAATTCATGTTTTTTTTTTATATGATAAATATTCGTGAATTGTGAACCGATTTTGATGATTTTTGATTATTTTTTATTATTAACTACGGTATTAGGGGTAAAGGTAGGTAAATAAAAAATGAAGTTTTAAGTGTAACTATTTAGAATCATTCTAGTCGTTACTTTGAGCTTTATGATATTTCTTAGTTGACACAAAAGAGTCAAGAATTCGTGAATATATGATTGAATCTGGAGGAAAAACTCCACCCTATAAGGGTGGCAAAATAGTACCTAGAGGGCTTAGCTTTCCATTGACGTCCGTTGAGTTTGGTGTTGATACGTATTTTTACAGAAATATTACATTTTTATAAGCACACGCACAAAGTTTCAATATGCGGAAACACGTACTTAATGAGAGAAAAAATATTGAAAATCAAATATTTTGCAATATTTATGTCCATTCCTACCGTGAAACTGACGCCATTTTTTATCATTATTGTCAGTAGGGATGTCCATTCTCTCCGAAAAGGATTTTTTAAATAGATTCGAATTGTAAGCTGATTACAGAAAGGTTACATTATTATAAGCACAGTTTCCACATTCGGGGACACGTACTTCTTGAGAAAAAAAATATTGAAAATCAACTATTTTTGCAATATTTATGTCAATAAAAATATCAACCGCAACTTGACGGATGCCAATGGCGATTGGCATAAATATTGCAAAAATAATTGATTTTCAATAATTTTTTTCTCAAAAAGTACGCGTTTCCGCATGTTGAAACTTTGCGTGTGTGCTTATAATAATGTAACTTTCTGTAAAAAAAAATATCAATCCCCAACTCGACGGACGTCAATGGAAAGTCTTACCCAAAAGGGTAAATATAATCTAATATATAAATATAATTTTTTTTTATAGGATAAGGGTGACACACGAGCATACAGTCCACCTGATTGTAAGTGGTTGTTGTGGCCCCTATATACATGTGGATGTCTATACATCTACATCTATCTTCGATTAAGAATCAAAATGCAGATGCGTTGTCACCCGTGGGGACTAAGATGGAATGCCTCGTTTCCAGTAAAAAGGTTCTCTGGTTCTCTACACTCACCATACGAAACACAGCAGCGTTAAGCTGCTATTTTACGCTGGTATTCTGCGAAAGCATGGTCCTTCCCCGGTCGCGCCGACTCATTCCTGCTACAACCATAATATAGCTGCAGCATGGATTTACCACGTAAAAAAAGTTTGTTTGTTCGTATTTTATGCGCTGCCATACCGTTCATCAGATTGCGCTAAAACCTTATCAACTTATTACTTGCACTTGCGCGAAGGTTATAGGCATAGTACTACAATTAATTTGCACTACCACCTAAGGTAAGTTAATCGCGCATTTCGTACCGACAAAATTTGAAAGATGTTTATCATTAAATTAATGTATTATCCTTCCTAATTAAACCATATAACTCTTCCCAATTTAAAAGCACATTTTCACAATTATTTCTTCTGCGGAAATAATGCGCTGGTTACCAGCTAGTTTTTAATCAATGTAAAAGCCAACTTAAAAGTAATAAGAAAAAAAATTCCACGTGTTGAAGTCGGGGCCTTAATTCCTCTACACGTTATGACTTGGCACCAACTTGAGGCTGTGAAATCAAATATTTTTTTTAGCTCTTTGAAGTCAGCTTTTACTTTTTACTAAGTTATTTTTTTTTTTTACTTATGTTCAACGATTTTTCGGAAACGTCTTAACCTACTTAAATGATTTTTTTTTAAATTATATAGACTAGGTATACCTCAAAGGTGCTGCTCTATAAATTTTAATAAAAAATGAGGGATAAAGTTTGTATTGTAACTATTCAGACGATATTCTAGTTGATTCGTTGCCTTGAGCTTGTAATTTGTAAATGTTAAGTCCACTAAAAAGTGGAAGATATTTAACTTTTAATAAAAATTAATAACAAACTTCTCAATAACAAGCTTCTGAAATTGGTGCTAAAACAGTGTATCCAAGAATTAAATAAAATAGATTTTTATAAATAGAATAGAATGCAATATTTTTAATTTAATATAGATAACAACAATACTTATTGAGTTATTTAAACTTTACCACTGGTTACGAAAGAACCTCTGTCCTGGGAAGAACCAGCAAGAAAACCCAGCGAGACTTTTTTCAAACATTAATTTACAATATAATATTTTATATATTAACTAATTATAATAATATTTTATATAATTATCTTATATCATTATTAAACTTTTTTATTTGATATACTTCTATCAAAATTAAAAAAAAATATTATTTTTTATTAAAAAAAGTGTGTATAAAACAAAATATCATGGATATTTGTGCCAAACAAGTTTATTAATCTAGATTTTGCCTATTGTTCGTTAATTTAAAATTGCAAAAGTCGAAAAAATTAAACGATCAAATGACAAAAATTATCAAAATTAAGAAAAAAAAGGAATTTTCTAGGAAAAGTTATAACCTGGGCTATAATCATTACTTGTGTTGTCTTCCTCTAGCGAAGTTGCGTACGTGCTTCCATACAAATATCTTCCCTTACCGTAACTGACCCTCCACCATATACCTGTTTTACAATGATGTTGCACTGAGAGTACCTCTCTCTCTCTCTCTCTCTCTCTCTCTCTCTCTCTCTCTCTCTCTCTCTCTCTCTCGTCTTTCCATCACCTGCTTCAGGCAAAATTTGAACTTATCTGTGAATAGAACTTGACTCCAAGATCCCTCATTTTAATTTTCGTGATTGCGAGCAATATTAACTAGAGCTACTCGATCGCATGTTGCAGGAGGGGGTCTCTGGCAGGAAAGTGTGGATTTATTCCGGCCGATTTCAGTCTTTTTGTCACAGTTTTTGTGTTTACTGTAACTTCAAACTTACTCGAACTTCTTGGAGCTTCGTTCTTCACCCAGAAGTTAAGGTCCGGTTTCTAAGCACGCTGGTAACGATGAACCGGTGATCTCTGGACACAGATTTCTATTTACGTTTTGTCCTGCGAGTCTCGTATTATAGTCTGGTCTCCCGATATCTCTTGACAACTCGATGTACCACAGATTTTGATACTCGTAATGTTTGGGCTACATGTTTGTGGGTGTACTCAGTTTAATTCTCAGTGTATTTGCAGTAATACGTTCTATTGCCTCTTGGATAAAGTCTGTATTAGAGCGCCGCAAGTCCCGCCATACAATTTTCCTCACAAGCTTAGTGAGTACCAACTGATCTAATATCTCGGCTGATGTTGTAATGTGGCCAAGATTTTAAGGCATGAGGGTATCAATTTATGTATTATGCAACATATAGGCCAAAAGTCTAAGCACTAGACGTTTCTTCTATGCAATTTAGGAAAAAATAACCAATATTCATAGGCAATTAAATAAAACTAGTGTGACGTCAAATGGCGGTTTAAGAGAATTCATCGCCCCATTTTGTGTTTCGTAACTCGTAGAAGCTGATTATCAGAAATACTGGCAAAATCTTATGACTTCTGATAGTTTGAATGGGCGGTATAATCATTTCTTTTACGCCGACGTAAAATATTGACATTGGCGATGAGCAACGGGCAGCAGTTTTTTTTTGTATTCTTAAAAAACATTACCCCCACACTAGGATTTTCTCCTGTATCGTGGAGGCAGTTTACAAACACAAATTGCACAATTATTTGTAGGCCATACAAATACTTGTTCCGTGCGGGATTCGAACCAGTCAAAAAGCAGTGTCAATGGTGTCGAACCAGTCAGGCATTGCAATCGTTTACCCGGCAAGACAAGTTAAATTCTACTTCGTACAATGGAGGGGAGAGCATGGATCACTAATTGTTATCCATTGTAAATGACTTTTACAGGTTATATATTGAAAAAAAAAAACATTTTAATTGCAGGGAATTGTAAATAACTTAAAAGAGAAAATAAAATTAGAAAAAAATGAATCAAAAGCTTGTGTAGCTTCAGCTCAAAGAATTTCTGATCAGTCCAGTGAAATACATCAAAAGTTTCTAGAGACTCGTACTAAACTTATACAAATCACAAAACAAAAAGAGACTACGGAAAAAGCATTACAGAACAAGATAACTAAGTTGCAATTGGAAAATAATAAACTGATAGATAAATTAAGAAACAAATCTGGTAAGTTTATCCTGTTTTTTTAGAAAATTTAAGTGATAGTAAGTGGCTACTGCAGTACTTATAAGTGACTTCAATGACACCTGCGGCCTGCTGGAAACAAAAAAGGCTACAGTTATGTTTTTTTTATAGTATAGGGTGACAATCGAGCACACAGTCCACCTGATGGTAAGTGATTGCTGCGGCCCATATACATCTATATCTATTTTCGATTACGAATCAAATTGCAGATGCGTTTTCACCTCCAAGTGCTTAGATGGAATGCCTCACAGCCTGTGATTATATTGTTTCTCTATACCCTTCTCACCGGCACAGCAAGGCAAGTACTGTTATTTGGCGGCAGAAATTGGTGATACCTATTCAAATGGACTTATAGGCGAAAAATAAGTGCAACCAGCCTATGAATTTATTTTCGTATATATTTAATTTGTATTTTATGAATACCTATTTTGCAGACCACCACACCCCATGCTCAGAAATATGTGGATCAACGATCATGCAAATTAAAGAACGTGAGAAAAACCAACGTAAAATAATTTCAAAACTTCAAGCTAGTAATCAAGACTTATTAAGGGAAGTTCTTGCTTTGAAAGAAGATTTAATATTTGAAGGACTTCAAGATATCCAGCTTAAAGATAAAACAAAATAACATTTTGTAATTTTTACCAATTGCATGATTTTAAGTATTACCTTAATTATTACTGTTATTGTTGCCAATTAATGATAATTTTTTTATTTGATCTCATGAACATGCCAATTTTCAGTATTACTATAGTATATACAACAATATACACTACCCATTTAAAAGGCTGAGTGGAATGACCCTCGTACATATTTAATTACATATATTACAGGGGTAAGGCTAGGGATAAAGTATACAAAAAGTACTAATTAATATAGGTATTATAATAGCACACGTCAAATAAGTGCGTATAGTGAAAAGGTAGTAAAGAGTGTTTTACCACTAAATTTGTACTCTCTGCCACATTCATGAATGAAACACATCAGAATATACTGTACTGTTAACTCATTACAATCACTTATTATATTAATTATATGGACGATAATGTTATAATGTTGGAAAAAATTGTTTAACATTTCATTGTGATATATTAATTACAGATTAAACTAAAAATACTAAATAGTGTTTTATTTCTAAATGTTAATTGATATTTTAAAAACATTTTTTTTTCAAATTAAATTCTTATAAAATGAACAATAAACTGTGTTATTTCTTGTGGCATCTTCAGTAGGCTTCTATATCTCTAATTCAACACATTAATGGTGTGGCCACTTTTAATTATCACTAAATTATTAAATTATAACTTTTTTTTTACACAAAAATCACAACACTAAATTTATAAAGTTTTATGACTTATATTATTTTGACTTTATACATTGTCGTGAAGCGACAATTAAAAAAAAAAAAAAACCTAACCTAAGTGCAACAAAACAACAAAAGTAGAGCCAGAAAACAATATATTTAAATTTATAAAAGGTATTTACAATTTTATAAAAAAATGAAATGAGGATGATGATGAATGAGGTGAGAGTACAATTAGATTATAAAAAAAAAAAAAATAAAGGTGAGAGAATAGGGGAATATAGTGTTGTAGTGGGGCCTAAAAGTCGAAGCGACACACGTTGCGTTTGTAGAAGTAGGTTTCTTAGCAGCGACGGCACGCAGCGCCTGAAGCCAGCACACGCCGTTTGCGCTTGTAGAGGTAGGTTTTCTTAGCAGCGACGGCACGCAGCGCCTGAAGCCAGCACACGCCGTTTGCGCTTGTAGAGGTAGGTTTTCTTAGCAGCGACGGCGCGCAGCGCTTGGAGCCAGTACACGCAGCGTCCGGAGCCGGCGCACGTAGCGCCTGGAGAAGGGGCGCGCAACGCTTAGAGCCAGCAGTTGCAGCGCCCAAAGGTAGCGCCGGCGGTAGGTGCACTCGGCGCCTGGAGTAAGTAGTCGTAGCGCCCGGAGTAGTGTGGCCCCCGCGCTTGTAGTAGTCTCGAAGCGACTTCCGAGGTAGATGGAGGCTTGTAGGATACCGGAGTGGCGCGGCCCGAGTTTGAAGAAGGCTTCGCCGAAGACTTCACTTGTAAATGGAGGCTTGCAGGATCCCGGGGCAGTGCGGCCCCGGGATAAGGCCTTTAGGAGATACTTCCAATTCGCGAACTGAAGCGAGACTGCCTTTCTTCACCGATTGTTCGGCTTTTATACCTTTCTAGAGAGAACGGAAAAATTATTTAAATTATACGCAAATTTTTTGTAAATGGTCAAGAGAAAAGAGGATTTATGTGGAATTATCGACATAGGAATAACAGATCGGTAGCAAATTTGAATATAATTACCATGGAAACGATATAAATAAGAAAGACAAAATATGTCAAATTTTTATTTTTGGTTTATAATAAGAAAACGGTAAGATTTAAGTGGAAAATGAGATATTATTGATATAGGAAAAAAGGTAGCGCAACTGCCCACACAAAGCTCGAGATTGTAGAATTACGGAAAACTAGCTAAAAGATCGAAAAAAGGTAGACTCCATTGACACCAATTTAAAAGTGCTGATAATGTGAAAATACGAAGTAGAAATGATTTGTTATTGTGTTCTTATGGTTTAAAATCGTTACAGGATCCTATGGAAATAAAGGTGATGTAAAATATCCAGTTTTGAGGTGAATGCAGAAAATCGAAACAGAATGGAAAAATGAATTTAAAATAATGTAAAATGATACGTGAGTAGCATAACACTACATTTTCCCCCCGACCCTGGAAAATTTTTGACTCAGCAAAAATTTTGATATATACATTCTAAAATAAACCATAAAAACACAGCTTTGCAGAAACAGACATCACCAGGCAAAATCAAATATACCATCTCTTACATACATCATCTGCCATTCAGGTAAGGGTGGAGTTCACATTCAATGACTACCACTCTAAAAGTGTGTTTTCAAAACGACATTAAGGCTTATTTAAGGAGTAGTCATCCGCTCCTGCGTGGAAAAAAAATAAATTAGTCGAAGAAACACCACTCTTAAAAGTGTGTTTTCGAAAGGACATTTAGGCTTATTTAAGGAGTTGTCATCCGCTCCTGCGTGAAGATAAAGATAAAGAAATCAATCTTAAGCAAGCTTTAGTCGCTATGACTTAAGTAAAGATAAAGAACAGCCAGAGCGGTAGGGCTCAAAGCCAGAGATCAGCAACATCACTAGCGAGATGTGTCTGAAATAATAAGAAGTGAAGATTAACCTACCAAACAAACAAACAAATTAAAAGAAATAATAGCAAGGTGAAAATGATGGTGATATTTATACATATATACAAATTAAATGTGATATTTATACATATATACAAATTAGCAGTTAATAAATGTTTAGATATTTATAAAAATATACAAATTAACAGTTGTAAATGCTTAGAAAAGTTATGAATCGTCTCGCTTCAGCTTTGAAAAACAATTTTATATAAAGTGTAAAGTTTAAGAAATAAAGATTTAATTGAAAAGTTATACCTCTTTAAGTTACCTAGAATAAAAATATTAGAGTGATGAATGTAAGTGAAGTGTTGAATGTAGGTCTAAATATAGTCTAGATAAGTTGAAAAACTAGATGAAGTTTTGTTCTAGAATAAAAATATTAGAGTGATGAATGTAAGTGAAGTGTTAAATGTAGGTCTAAATATAAGCCAGATACATTGAAACACTAGATGAAGTGTTGTTTTAGAATTTGGAAGGTTATCTACAATAAAAATATTAAAGTGATGAATGTAAGTGTTGTGTGAAATGAAGGTCTAAATATAATCCAGATAAGTTGAAACACTAGATGAAGTGTTGTTTTAGAATTTGGAAGGTATGAAAAAGATAAATAAATGAATGATGAATAATGAGTTAAGAACGAAAGGGAGAGCAATTAAATCAAAAGGGAATGGACAAGGCGCAGTAAAGGTGAAGAATTAAGAGAGAAAGAGGACTTTTACGTTGGGCGCCAAATGTCGTGAAGCGACAATTAAAAAAAAAAATAGAACCTAACCTAAGTGCAACAAAACAACAAAAGTAGAGCCAGAAAACAATATATTTAAATTTATAAAAGGTATTTACAATTTTATAAAAAAATGAAATGAGGATGATGATGAATGAGGTGAGAGTACAATTAGATTATAAAAAAAAAAAAAAATAAAGGTGAGAGAATAGGGGAATATAGTGTTGTAGTGGGGCCTAAAAGTCGAAGCGACACACGTTGCGTTTGTAGAAGTAGGTTTCTTAGCAGCGACGGCACGCAGCGCCTGAAGCCAGCACACGCCGTTTGCGCTTGTAGAGGTAGGTTTTCTTAGCAGCGACGGCACGCAGCGCCTGAAGCCAGCACACGCCGTTTGCGCTTGTAGAGGTAGGTTTTCTTAGCAGCGACGGCGCGCAGCGCTTGGAGCCAGTACACGCAGCGTCCGGAGCCGGCGCACGTAGCGCCTGGAGAAGGGGCGCGCAACGCTTAGAGCCAGCAGTTGCAGCGCCCAAAGGTAGCGCCGGCGGTAGGTGCACTCGGCGCCTGGAGTAAGTAGTCGTAGCGCCCGGAGTAGTGTGGCCCCCGCGCTTGTAGTAGTCTCGAAGCGACTTCCGAGGTAGATGGAGGCTTGTAGGATACCGGAGTGGCGCGGCCCGAGTTTGAAGAAGGCTTCGCCGAAGACTTCACTTGTAAATGGAGGCTTGCAGGATCCCGGGGCAGTGCGGCCCCGGGATAAGGCCTTTAGGAGATACTTCCAATTCGCGAACTGAAGCGAGACTGCCTTTCTTCACCGATTGTTCGGCTTTTATACCTTTCTAGAGAGAACGGAAAAATTATTTAAATTATACGCAAATTTTTTGTAAATGGTCAAGAGAAAAGAGGATTTATGTGGAATTATCGACATAGGAATAACAGATCGGTAGCAAATTTGAATATAATTACCATGGAAACGATATAAATAAGAAAGACAAAATATGTCAAATTTTTATTTTTGGTTTATAATAAGAAAACGGTAAGATTTAAGTGGAAAATGAGATATTATTGATATAGGAAAAAAGGTAGCGCAACTGCCCACACAAAGCTCGAGATTGTAGAATTACGGAAAACTAGCTAAAAGATCGAAAAAAGGTAGACTCCATTGACACCAATTTAAAAGTGCTGATAATGTGAAAATACGAAGTAGAAATGATTTGTTATTGTGTTCTTATGGTTTAAAATCGTTACAGGATCCTATGGAAATAAAGGTGATGTAAAATATCCAGTTTTGAGGTGAATGCAGAAAATCGAAACAGAATGGAAAAATGAATTTAAAATAATGTAAAATGATACGTGAGTAGCATAACACTACATTTTCCCCCCGACCCTGGAAAATTTTTGACTCAGCAAAAATTTTGATATATACATTCTAAAATAAACCATAAAAACACAGCTTTGCAGAAACAGACATCACCAGGCAAAATCAAATATACCATCTCTTACATACATCATCTGCCATTCAGGTAAGGGTGGAGTTCACATTCAATGACTACCACTCTAAAAGTGTGTTTTCAAAACGACATTAAGGCTTATTTAAGGAGTAGTCATCCGCTCCTGCGTGGAAAAAAATAAATTAGTCGAAGAAACACCACTCTTAAAAGTGTGTTTTCGAAAGGA